AGGAGTTATGGTACATCGACTCAACGTCGACGAGAGCTGTAAGCCAGTGAAACAGAAGCGTCGCGCGTTCAACCAAGAAAGGAGCGAGATTGTAGCTGAACAGGTGGAGGAGCTACTGAAAGCAGGCTTCATTCGGGAAGTACATTATCCCCAGTGGATATCCAACGTAGTGCTGGTAAAGAAGCCAAACGGCAAATAGAGAATGTGCATCGACTTCACGGACCTAAATAAGGACTGTCCTAAGGATTCTTTTCCTTTGCCTCGAATAGATCAATTGATTGATGCCACTGCAGGACATGAAAGATTGAGTTTCATGGATGCCTACTCTAGATACAATCAAATCAAGATGCATGTACCGATCAGAAGAAAACCTCTTTTGTCACGAGTAGAGGCTTGTATTGTTACACCGTGATGCCGTTCGGATTGAAGAATGCAGGTGAAACCTACCAACGAATGGTGAATCGGATGTTTGCAGCCTTAATCGGTAAAAATATTGAAGTCTACGTAGACGACATGCTGGTAAAGAGTCGAAAGAACGAGCGACACGAGGAGGATTTGGCAGAAGCATTCGACGTTTTGCTAATGTACAAGATGAAGCTGAATCCCACCAAATGCACGTTTGGAGTGACCTCAGGCAAGTTCCTGGGATTTTTAGTACACCAAAGGGGGATCGAAGCGAATCCAGATAAGATCAAAGCTGTTCTAGAGATGGATCCACCTAAAACTCTAAAGCAGCTGGAGGGACTCAATGGAAGGATAACAACACTCAATAGATTCGTAAGCCGTTCAACTGACAAGTGCCTGCCATTCTTCAAAATCTCAAGGAAGAAAGGGCAATTTGAATGGACGGAAGAGTGTGAGGCTGCCTTTAAGGAGCTGAAACCGTACCTGGGGGTAGCTCCACTCCTCTAAAAGCCGATCGTGGGTGATGAAATCTACTTATACTTAGCTGTATCCAACACTGCAGTGAGTTCCGCGTTAATAAAGGAAGAAGATGGACGACAGTCTCCAACCTACTACACAAGCAAAGCAATGGTAGATGCAGAGCTTAGATACCCACAAATGGAGAAGCTGGCATTGGCCCTGGTCACTTCAGCTCGGAGACTACTCCCGTATTTCCAAGCTTATAGAATAATTGCCTCACCAACTTAACTATACGACAGATCTTGCATAAGCCAGACAGTTCTGGGCGACTGGTAAAGTGGGATGTAGAGCTCAGCGAATACGACATTCACTATAAGCCAATAACTGCCATGAAAGGGGAAGCTGTGGCAGACTTCATAGCGGAATTAACACCCACAGAACCTCAAGTATATTGTATCGACCCACAAGTGGTTGAGGAAGAGAAATTCTGGACACTCTACTTAGATGGGTCCTCAAATTTTCGAGGATGCGGGGCAGAACTCATACTAATCTCTCCAGATAAAGAAAGAACCGAATATGTGCTGCGATTCAGCTTTCATGCATCCAACAACGAAGCCGAGTATGAAGCTCTACTAGCAGGACTAAAAGTGGCCAGGTACGTTGGGGTCAGGAACATACTGATACTCAGTGATTCACAGCTGATTGTAGGTCAGGTGAAAGAGGAGTTACAGGTTAGAGAACTGCGAATGGCGAAATACCTTTCATAGGTAAGAAACTAGCTCGACCAGTTCTCAAAATATGAGATTCGAAAAATTCCACATGCTCAAAACGTCAACACCGATGCGTTAGCTCGACTAGCTGCAGCTTATGAAACCGACCTGCGCAGAACTGTACCGGTCGAGATTCTACCTGAGCCAAGCATAGAAGCTTATGAAGCCATGGATATCGATGAGCAAGGGCAACCAGAAAAAAATTGGAAGAGCCATTTGATCAAATATTTGAGAGACGGGATCCTGCCTACTGAAAAGATAGAGGCCCAGCAGCTACAACGACGAGCAACCAGATATTTGCTTAAAGACGACAATCTGTACAAAAGAGGCTACTCGTTGCCGCTTTTAAAATGTATAACGCCCGATGAAGCCGACTACATCATGAGGGAGATACATGAGGGTGTTTCCAGGAGCCATTCTGGAGCACGATCCCTAAGTCACAAAATAGTTGGACAAGGGTACTACTGGCCGACCATGCTGAATGACACGAAGCAATTCACCAAAAAAATGACAAATGCCAACAGTTTGCAACAATACGTAGACAACCTCCAGAGCCTCTAACAAGGATAATGAGTCTTTGGCCCTTTGCTCAGTGGGGAATAGACCTTATAGGGCATCTCCCACTAGGAAAGGGCTAGACCAAATTTGCAGTAGTGGCAGTCGACTATTTTACTAAATGAACCGAAGCAAAAGCCTTAGCTACAATTACTGAGAAAAAGGTCACCGACTTCATCTGGAAGAACATAATTTGCCGCTTCAGAATACCTTACACCATTATCAGTGATAATGGGAAGCAGTTCGGCAATGCTGCCTTTCGAGAATTTTGCAGGGAGTTGGACATTAAACACATCTGTTCCTCGCCAGTACATTTGCAGGCTAATTGGAAGGTTGAAGCAGTCAACAAAATCATCAAAAGAACTCTGAAGACCAGATTAGAAAAGCTCAAAGGGTTGTGGGCAGAGGAAATTCCCAACGCATTATGGGCCTACAGAACAACACCTTATACTTCGACAGGAGAAACGCCATTTTCATTATCATTTGGCTCTGAAGTGGTAGTGCCAGTCGAAATTGGACTCCCCTCCCCAATGGTAGAGCAGTTTAGTCCACTTGACAACAACGAATCCGTAAAGCTCAACCTCAACCTATTAGAAGAACATCGAGAAACAGCACGACTACGAACGGCTGAATACAAAAATCGAATAGCTCGACACTACAACTCGAAGGTTAAGAAACGTGACTTTAAAGAAGGTGATCTGGTGTTAAGAAAGATTATGCTGAATACTAAAGATTCAATTAGCGATGCGTTCGGGCCAACATGGGAGGGCCCATACAAAGTCACTAAAGTGGTGCGAATAGGCACTTATGCTTTAGAAGACCAACGGGGGGAGGCCTTACTACACCCATGACACGCCGAACACCTCAAAAGATACTACCACTAGTTCGACATATGTCTCGACATTTTTATGTTTTTCCATTATTTGGACCAACAAAGGTTATTGTAACTAAATCTTCGACAAGACGATCTTCCTACTAATAAAGTATTCGACATTCGACGTGATATTTAAGTTTTTATGTTCATTCTGAAAAAAATTCCTCAAGCAGGGGGCATCATATGAATATCTACATATCTACGACCAGTCGAGAAACTCAAAATTGGGACAGACCTAGAAACAGGCCGATAAGCTAAAAGCCAATAAGTGAAACCAGGGAAAAGAATCCCGAGGTGCTGAAAAAGGCATGCGTACAGGCCCAGCAAGGTTAAAAAAGAAAACAGGCAAGCCTAACCGATCAATGAAACCCACGGGTAGAAAATCATATGGCAAAAGCCAAAATTAGTTAAAAACCCGAGGGTGTTGATTTAACTTGGGGTAAAAAACCGGCAGAAGCCAAATATGTTAGAAACCTAAGGATGCCGACTAAACTCAGGGTATAAAAGCCATTGGCAAAAGCCAAGTGAGTTAGAAACCCGAGAGTAAACCCTGAGGTATAAAACATAAGCAAAAGTCAAATAGGTCAGAAATCCAAAGGTATCGATATTAGTTCTGTTAAAGTTAGATCCCAAGGCCAAAAGTAAATGGTTTGAACTCAGATGAGAATAAAACTAGGCTTAAGAGACTTGATTGTGATCAACGAAAATTGGAAAAAAACTTTCAATTCATGAATAGTATCGACAAGTTCAAGGCACAAAACAAGTGGTAGGAACCAAGCACTAAAATCCAAAATTGGATCAAAAGCTCTTGGTAGATGCTCTGTGCATTAGCAACCTTCACATTTTTAGCCACTGATATACAATGATCTCGTGGTAACGACAAGAGACAAGTACTCTCAAAACAAAGATCTCGACACAATTCTTCGTCTTCTGTTTTGAGAGTGGGGGCCATTGTTATGGAGAACAAAAATAACCCGAAACGGGACAAGGAGTTGAAGCCTGAGATGATCGATTGGAGGAGACCAGCCCGTGACCTAATGGGCCGACCCAAAGAACGACCTAGTGTCGGGGCAGAGAACGAGGAAAGCGACCGGCGGAGAACTAATCGGGCCGAGAGGGCTCGGTCCCGACCCCTGCTCGGCCCACGGTCCAGCCCAGGAATCTCCTGCCTACGATCTAGGATCCCTCGGATCCTGCAACGCCGAATTAGGGTTTGGCTACGGAGGTTCTGGAATCATCTTCACGGCTATAAGTAGTAGTGAGATCCAACCCTGAGGGGGCAGGTGACTAATCCTTAGCTAATTATTTTCTCAACACTCCCTCGCTAACTTAAGCATCGGAGCCCGTGTGACTAAGGTCACACCAGTTGAGATCGGTTTGATTTTGCAGGTATCGGTTACCTTATCATCTAGTTTTGTGTGTGCGAGAAGAAGAATCGGAGGGTCAAAATCCACGCATCAAGACATGTCATGCTCGGATTTCTTCCTCGACATTATTATATATGATTTCAAGTAGGTGTGATTATTTTGTAACATTATTAAACAAAGTTCCTT